GAGCTGATGGAGATTGATCGCCTCTCCCCGCAGGCCTGGTGTGCTGTGGGCAACTCCTTCTCCCATCAACGGGACCACGATCAAGCTTTGAAGTGCTTCAAGCGTGCGACGCAATTGGATCCTCATTTTGCCTACGGGTTCACTCTACAGGGACACGAATACGTGGCGAATGAGGAATACGACAAAGCCCTAAACGCGTACCGACATGGGATTAGCGCCGACAGTCGGCATTACAATGCCTGGTACGGATTGGGCACGGTCTACGATAAGATGGGCAAGCTTGAATTTGCCGAACAACACTTCCGCAGCGCGGCCACGATCAACCCGACCAACGCCGTACTTATATGCTGTATTGGTCTGGTCCTGGAGAAAATGAACAATCCCAAGGCGGCTCTCATTCAGTACGGTCGTGCTTGTTCTCTCGCCCCCCACTCGGTACTTGCTCGCTTCCGCAAGGCTCGCGTGCTGATGAAGCTCCAGGAGCTTAAATTAGCGCTCGCCGAGTTGAAGATTCTCAAAGACATGGCTCCCGACGAAGCCAATGTCCACTATCTTCTTGGCAAACTCTACAAGATGTTACACGAAAAAGCCAATGCAATCAAACATTTCACCACTGCCTTGAATTTGGATCCCAAGGTAAGTTACCCTTTGGCTCATGTTGGTCCGAAGCAATGCAATGCTAATCTCGTACACTAGGCGGCACAGTATATCAAGGACGCTATGGAATCCTTGGATGACGACGATGAAGACGACGAGGATATTGCATGATTGTATTATCCCCCCCGCGGTTTCCTGAATGATCCTTCCGATACTCTCATTTCCATTATTGTACCTTGTTAGTCATGTCCTTCAGCCTGCGGTTGTTTTTCCGAACCCAGCTTGTGGCGTGGGATCATCATTGGGCGAGGATCGGCGTTTGTGTTTTTTTTTTTTCCTGGATCAGATTCGTGCAAGCATCAGCATTATAAGGGCGTTTGCCGGTGGGTTGGTTAGAGGGCATCTTCCTGCATTGGGCTCTCGACGGGTGTTGAGGCTCCTGGATATTGTATCTTAGCGTAAGGGGAGGATGGATGGATGGAGGGATGGAGGGATGGAGGCTGGGTTGACTGCGAAACCAGAGATAAGGACGCCAGAACGACAGGGTCCATGCACATAATGGAGTGATATTCTTATGGTGCATTATGCAGTCTATTTTTACTAGCATAGCAATGAGAATCAGTGCTGAACATGTGGGAATCTAAACGGAGGGTGGAGTACACGGAGTTTACTACGTAGTATAGTTCGTGGTTAAATTGAGCCTCGGCTTCTCCAGGCGGGGAAAAAAGCAGGGTGAAGGCGGTGAGAGGCGGCGGAGGAAATGGCCTCAAAGTCAAAAAACCCGGTCGGGATGAATTGAATCGATGAATCGATTGTTGAATCGTTCGCCTCCCCTGGTCAATTCCCCACATTGGCACTGCATTTGGTCCCTGTTCCTGGATTGACTCAATTCTTCATCTTTCTAAACTCATTTGCATTGTCGTCTCTGGCATCTGTCACCCATTGCCTCCACTGATACTGCTACCCTCCCTCCTCGGGTGATGTTGTAGTTCTCTCTCTCTCTCCGAAACCACTCGCCTGACCTCATCATCCAACCACCCCAGCAGTTCCTTCCCCCCCCAGCGGTTTGTTTCGGTTCGTTGAATCTCCCACACCCCCCCCATTCCTCTCTTTCTAGGAGTGAGAAAGATGTGTGTGCCTCTATCTCTTTTTTTCCTCTGCAGGCTCTTATCTTTCCCTCTCTCACTTATACGCCCTAGGACCTTTATCTGACTGAAATCTTCCTAATGCAGACCCATAGTCTTAATTCCGACCAGCCCTTTTCCTTGCCGCGTCTCGTCATGTCCTTCTTCTCCTACGTTGCCTCGGGCATCAGCTCGTTCGTCGTTGTCACGCTCTCCTTATTCGCTCTCGGCCAGAAAGTTCCCCGCGCCGCTTTCGTTGCTCGCTGCCTGGCAGCCTACGGCTCGCTCCTCCTGTGCGCCACCTATGGCGTAGTGGCCTCGATTGTCTTGCGCCTGGCCGGCTACGGTCGGGTTTCGCAATGGGCTACGGCGCGCAGCTTCAAATGGGTGATGCGGTATACGACCGGTGTACAGTTCGATATTGTGGAGGGTGTCGAGCACCTGTCGACTCGCCCGGCGGTGTTCATCTCCAACCACCAGTCCGAGCTGGACGTGCTCATGCTGGGCGCCATCTTCCCTCCCTACTGCAGCGTCACGGCCAAGAAGTCGCTCAAATATGTGCCCTTCCTCGGCTGGTTCATGGCCCTGTCCCGGACGGTCTTCATTGACCGTGCCAACCGCGAAACGGCCGTCAAGGCGTTCGACAGCGCCGCCGCGGAGATGCGTCAGCACCGCCAGAGCGTCTTCATCTTCCCCGAGGGCACCCGAAGCTACTCCGACAACCCGGAGTTGCTGCCGTTCAAGAAGGGCGCTTTCCACCTGGCTGTCAAGGCTGGCGTGCCCATTGTTCCCGTCGTCACGGAGAACTACTCCCACGTCCTGTCTCCCCGCAGTATGCGATTCAATGCGGGGACCATCAAGATCAAGGGTGCGTTTGCTGGGTTCCGTGTCTCTCTCTTGACGATGGATCGGTGACTAACATAAGTATAGTTCTGCCGCCGATCAGCACCGAGGGTCTCACCGCCGCCGACGTCGACAGTCTCACCAAGTCTACGCAAGCGTCGATGCTCAAGACTCTCCTCGAACTGTCGGAGAAGGACAAGACGGAGATTGGCTCTGCTGTCGCCAATGGCACCTCCACTGCCGTCGAGATCTAGATCTCTTGTCATGACGATATCATGATCGACTCATTCACGACCGAGAAGCGCCCTGCATTCGAACATTTGTAAATTGTGCTGATATCCTATGTCCCGCGCCTTCTCCATCATTATTCATCCTTTTTACGATTCCACGTCCTAAACCGATCATACCATGCAGCCACTCGCCGTACTTAATCCGACGCCTTGAGATCGGGTGATTCCTACGGCTAGAGATTTTCTCTGGCCTGACACCCCGTGTACTCTAGCCATCTCCCGCGTCGATAATACCTTGTTCTTTCTCGAAGCCAGCCTGCTTTCTTTCATCGGAGCAATGCCGCAATCGCTTTTCTGGTTCGGCCTTGCAGGAGCCAACTTTGGGAGGAAAGGGGGCAGAAGACTGGAGGATTGGCTGGCGGAGACAGAGACGAGGATACTGCTCGCCCAAGGGGGGTAGAAGATCCCTAGATACCGAGTGGTATTCAAGAAGCTTTGTATTCATAGACTGAGACCATTTTCCTTCTAGAGTGTATATACAATCACTATTGCTACTTGGGATTCGAGGTGTCTGGTTCTGAGATTGTGCTGTGACCATTGCGCACAGCTTTGCTCAGGGGTGGCTGAAAGAAGCCAGCCTTCACTCCACTCAGCTACCACCATAAGGTCAAAATCGTGGACATCCGCAACTACTCCAAACACCGACATCTCCCCTCAGCACACGGCCTGACATCCCGTTCGATATCAATCTCCCGCAACGCCTCCCAGGTATCTTGCTGCCCAGCTTCCGCACCATGACTGCGCGCCCCAATCCCCGGCCCCCTCGCCGCGGTAGCAATCAAATAATCCTTCTCAAACGCCACAATCTCCACACGCACATCTGCCGCCGGCTTCTTGTGTAATGTCGTCCGCACCCCGGTATACGGCTCCCCCACTTTGGTTTCCGGACGTACCGGCTCCGGCGCGACGACGGCCCCAAACTCCAACTCCCGTAGCCAGGGCGCCAGTAGCGCCTCGCCCGTCATCTTGATGTAGGCCTCCTTCAGGGCCCAGTACGCGTAGAAGACGCGGTAGCTGTACTCGATGCTCTCGCTTAGGGTGTCCTGGGCTGTGTTGGTGTGGTGGGCTGTGCCATTTGACTGCGGAGGGCGGAGCGTCTTGATCAGCCGGATCTCCTCGGGCGAGAACACCTCGGTGAAGATGTCGACGTAGCTGGTGAAGGTGTCGCGGGGGTCGGTATTGTCTTTGCTTTTACCGGTGGAAAGGGAAGGCTGCCGCTCGTTCGTGCAGGTGATGTCGATCCCGACCTGCGGGACCTCGCCGTCGCCGTCGCCCTCGCCCTCGCCGTCGGCGGGTTCCGGGCAGGTGGTCCCCGCCAACGCGACGAGGGAGGCCTGGTGGCTGACGTTGAATTCGATGGTCGGGATCTTGCGGGAGGTGGTGAGGAGGGCGGCGCTGGGGATGAAGCACGGGCGGCGGTGCGGGGCCGGCGTGCGCGAGAGCGTGATCCGGTCCCAGGGGATGCGGCAGCTGCGGTGGATGAAGAGGTACTTGAGGAGGTTGGAGGCTAGCGACATGTGCTTGTCTTTGAGGTGGTGGAAGCGGCGGATGGAGGTTTGGTCTTCCGGTTGCAGGGTGGTGATTAGCGGGAGGTTGGGGGTGGTTGGGTTGGCGGCTGTGTTCGTTGCGGTTAGTGGGCGGGTGTCGATGTACCATCTTGTTAGGGTTCGGGGGTTCGGGTTTGATTGGGAGGTTGTGCTTGGGTTGGTCATTGTGAATTCTGGGGTGGTGGTTGGGGGTGGAGGGTTGGAGGTTGCGTGTGGTGGTGGTTGTATAGATAGGCTGAGGCTGTCGGAGCGGGGTGGATGACTGGAGTAAACAGAGTTGCGATGGAGTTGGTCTAACGGATTGTCCCGCGCGCGAAGGAGCCGCTAAGGTGCTGGATGTCTTCGGAAAAGGGCCTGAGTGCTGATTTCTATTCAGAGCTTGCCAGGGTTAAGAAACCTGGATAATACGAAAAAAGGATCGTGTCAGCTCAGCTCAATTCATGGAGATGGATTCAATCCTCACCTGCCCGATTGGGTATATCTTCCTGCGGGGAGAGTCACGTGGTGATAAGCTCGGTCCGAAGGATGATCCGATTCCAACGGGCGGAAGACATGGGGTTTCCCGCGGCGATCGGTCGATTGATTGACTCAAAGTGGCGCTCGACTTTCTACATACTACCACTTCTACAACACTATCCAACAATGAGCAACATCACCGTCGGTGTCCTTGCTTTGCAAGGCGCTTTCTACGAACATGTGCAATTGCTGAAGCAGGCCGCGACCACTGCCTCGGCCAACGACAATGTTTCCAAGGCACAATGGGAGTTCATCGAAGTCCGCACCCCGCAGGAATTGGCCCGGTGCGATGCGCTCGTTCTGCCCGGAGGCGAAAGCACCACAATGTCCCTCGTCGCGGCACGGTCCAATCTCCTGGAGCCTCTGAGGGACTTCGTCAAGTACGTTACTAGACCTGATTCATTTTGGCCCTCGACTAACATTTGCCTCTCTTTCTCCATGGTAGAGTCCACCGCAAGCCAACTTGGGGAACCTGCGCCGGCCTGATCCTACTCGCTGAGTCGGCGAACCGAACGAAGAAAGGCGGCCAGGAATTGATCGGAGGTCTGGATGTGCGCGTGAACAGAAACCACTTCGGCCGGCAAACAGAAAGCTTCCAGGCGCCACTGGATTTGCCCTTCTTGGGGCCTGACGAGCCCGCTTTCCCAGCCGTCTTTATTCGCGCCCCGGTTGTGGAGAAGCTTCTCCCACACCACGAGGGTATCCAGCTGGGTGAGGCCAAGCTAGATGACACCGTCGTGGCACCTTCTCGACACGCGGAGAGCGAGGCAGCCCTGGCCGCCATGGAGGACCATGTGCAGGTGCTGGCCACTCTACCTGGAACAGCCGCCAAGATAGCCTGCGAGTCTGACCCAGAGAAGGAGACGGGTGACATCATCGCTGTCAAGCAAGGCAATGTCTTCGGGACCAGTTTCCACCCCGAGTTGACGGCGGATGCCAGAATCCACCTGTGGTGGTTGCGCCAGGTCGAAGAGTCGGTCCGGAAGAGAAACGAAAAGCACTGAGAGGATGCTTTGCATGAATGAAAATGCCATTGAGCATCGTTCTTGCCGCCGCATGGGGTATTGGGTACGAAAACTTCTTTGGACATGCCTTTCTTTACACCAAGCGATAGCGATAGAAAATAGATTGTACATAAACGCCGTATTTGCGCCAACCGGATGGAACCACTGTTGCTTTCTACCTACCTTTGCCGTAATCTTCTTCCTCGCGTCGTCGTTGGTCGTCTGCGTATGCCCGACCATAGCCACCGCGACCGGGGTCGTACTCTTCGCGGTATTCATCGCGAACCTGACCACCGGACTTTCCGCGACTGCCCAGATGTCAGTGCCATGCAAGAGCTTTTGATGGTTGAACCCATGATCATACCCGTATTGTCGGCCCTCCTCGAAACCGGGATCCAAATCCGTGCGGATGATTCTCTCATCGAGCTTGGTGCCTCCAATATACTTCAAGCAGTCCAAAGCATCCTGGTGCGTGTAGTATTCAACGAAACAGAATCCGCAAGGAGTCTTGGTGAACCGATCGAGCCCCATGACAAGACGTTTGATTTCTCCGCACCTAAAACTTGGTCAATGTCTGGTACGTGGTGGGCTGGGAGAGTGCGAAGCTGACTTTGCGAAAAGCTCATGGATCTGTTCTTCAGTGGTGTAGAAGGAACTGTGGCAGTCAGCACTAATTAATGGCTGGTTTGTGGAGGTGTAGTCCGGCTTTGAAGCACGTACAGGTTGCCGACATAAAGGGTCGTGGCATTCTTCAGATTGTCGGTGGGTTCTTCCTGCTTCTCGGGTTCGTCGTGACTGTACTTGCGTCTCTTGTTCTATACAAACAAATTGCGAAGGGGTTAATGACCGTGTCGTGTCCATTGCATTGAACTGTTAATGGTTAGGGTGAAGCTATACCTTTCCCACATAGTAGGCACTGGGACGGTCCAGTCTCTCCACGGTGTGGTGCGATAACGTGCTCATTGTGTCGGAATGCGCCCACTGGAATACCCAAGAGAGTCCTGGTTGCAGTAAGAGAGAGTGTGAGAGTGTGAGATAAAATAGCACGTGGATGAGGGAAAAGGAAGACGGAGAAGGGGAAGTTTGGGGACGAGAAGCCGAGCTTCAACTGATGGAATGGGAAACTCTTGGCGCGCGTCTGCGGTGGATTTTTGCCCGGCCGCTGCTGGAGCTCAGTTAAACTTACCTTACTTTGTTGCTGCTCCTCCCGCCCTACGCTATTGTCCCGCAACTTGGAATCTTCCCCTTCCCCATCTTTTTGTCACTTCCTCTCTCTCTTCTCTCACGATCACTTCTCCTGACGGCATGGGTCTATAATTTACATCTTAATTGTGTGATCGAAATTTTTCAGACCATGCCCAAAGTCATCAGCTACACTCCGCCCTGGCTCTCGCGCCCTTCGCCAGGTGCTTCGATTTTCTCAAGCGCAGGGACCAAACACCCCGAAAACCTTCAACCAGCTCAAGATCAGCAGTATGCGGGGCCCAAGCGCATTCAAGCCAAGAGAGGGAATGAACTTTTCACCGTGGTGAACAACCAGATCCGCTGGTCCGATCTCACTAGGGTCAAGGACGAATGGCAGCATCAAAGACGCCTGAAGAATGGAAGTTCGGAAACACGACCTGAGCATGAGAAGAGTGTGCATTACAAGGTAATACGGCCTGACGAGTGCAAAGTGGGCGATAGCTGATAGCGCGCAGGTCTTGTTAACCCCGGTTCACGAAAATATCCGTCAACTTGTTCCGTCTCCCAACGGCGCTTTCTTAGCTATCGTAGCCGACCACACCGTGTTCATCGCTGTCCTTCCAGACCCGTCGCATTTGGCTGGCACCGACACCCTTCCAATCCGCGTCAAGACCTACCAGCTCGGACCGACCACGCATGTTATACCCGAGTCTCCTGTTGTTTCCGCACTATGGCATCCATTGGGGGTTCACAGCAACCTGGCGGGCTGTCTGGTAACAGTCACCGTAGATGCTGCCGTCCGGGTGTGGGAGATCGACCGCAACAATCATTGGTCTTTTGATCGACCGACGCTGGCGGTGGACCTGCGGAAGTTGATTGATGGAACGTCAAGCGACGAGGATTTCGCGCCCTCGGGGTTCGGAAGAAACAAGGGTTTCTCGGCGGACTACATCGATATGGAAGTAGCCTCTGCTGCCTTTGGTGGCACCGGCGTTGCCAAGGAAGATGCCTGGGCTCCCATGACCCTTTGGGTTGCGATGCGGCCAGGCGATCTGTACGCTTTGTGTCCTTTGCTCCCCACCAAGTGGAGAGCGCCTTTGACGACTGTCCCGGCACTCACTACAGCTATCCTTCCAAAGCTCGCGAGCTTGCAAGAAGACCCGGCGGAGTTTGAAGATGAACTTGCGGCTTGCCGTCAACAGTATGACTGGCTCACCGAGATTGACACCCAGGAGCCGCTGCTCACTGATGTCGAGTCCGACTACGAAGTCCGTACACGCCCTGCAACCCCCAGCGCTATCCCGAGACTGCAGGGTCCCTTCCGTCTGGACACCGGTGATGAGATTGACGACCTTGACCTATGCGATATCCTTGTAGTCGCTGCCAGGGCTGACATCGACGCTCTCATGACGGGTGAGGAGGTTGACCTGGCGCTGGAAGACGACGGGGAGGACAAATTGTCGGCTACCGTGATTTGCTTGTCGAGTGGAAGTGGCAGAATCTATATCTGCCTGGAGCTTGATGGCATTGAAGGGCAGTGGCTCCCCAAGAGCCGGCAAAATGTTTTCCGCACGCCAGTATCCGATCCATGCGACCTACTCTTGGTGGAATCGTTGGATACCGTGAAGGCACAGGCGGACCACTGGCCGACATTCACTAAGGATGTCTATTCCCGCTACAACTTCTTTGTCACCACGGCGACCAATGTGACTTTCTTTTCCCTTGGTTCCTGGGTGCAGAGATTGGAAGCCGAACTGCAGTCGGAAGACACCAGTGGAAGTGCGTTCCGCCTGCAAGTTCTGTGTGAAGGCACCGCGTCTCTGCGAGAGCAGCTCATTGAAGTGGATGATAACGTTGGGGAGGACAAGGACCATTCTGCCCACCTGCCAGCCTCTTTGGTATACTACGACTACGACCTGGGGTACCTACTTCTAACGTCCCGCGGCTCTGTTCCTTATGCCGCGATCCTGGACGCGCCGGAGGTCTCCTTACCTTCGATTGGCGAGTTGCAGATCTTCGACTCGCAAGAAGGACCTCGATCGCCTGTACTCCCGCCTCGCCGCCCTCCCTACCAAGTGCCACCCATCTTCTATTCGGAATCACCCCTGGGTTCCTTTGTGGAGAAACATGTTCCGCATCGCCAGCGCCAAGCCCTCAAGGAGCAAGTTCGCTTGTCGCCTGCGACCCTTGATCTAGTTGCTGCCGCCCATCGGATTCTGTCCGCGCATACGAACGCGCTGGAGAGAGCTGCTTCGGATCTGTTCCGCCGATGTGAACGTCTGCAGGGGGAGATGCGTGACCAACTGAAGCAATTGGCTGATGTTGCGGATAGGGTGCGGGGTGTTTCCAGTGAGCTTGGTGAGGACGGCAAGCGGATTGAAGGATCGCGGACCGGAGAGGCCCTTGATAAGAGACTTCAGGCCGCGAAGGACAGACAGACCGAGCTTGTGCAGAGATACGAGGCTCTTCGGAGTAAGCTCATGAAATCTGGCGGCAGACCTTTGAGCGACAAAGAGAAGGCATGGTTCCAGGAGGTGAAGAGACTCAGTGATTCATTCGGCGAAGCGACGGAGGACTCGCAACCGGGCCAGGAAAGTCGTCAAGCCATCGCTCAACGCCTCGAAACGGTAAGTGCTTCCTCCACATATCGGGTCTACCCCGAGCTAATTAAATCCTTTTGCAGGCCAAGGAACTTGCACGCGATATGCTTGCCGAAGCGAAGTCGGTTGCTGCTAGGCTTCCCGCTGTCGACGCCAGCAGCCCGGCTTCAGCGCAACCGACGATCCCATACCGACTTCAACGGACGAAGGTTGGGGAAGCGATGAGAATGGTGGAACGAGAGTGAGTTTCTAATTAGGGTATCAAGACATGACATACTGATACAGTTACAGATCTGCGATCATCGACTCGATCACGTCCCGGTTGGAACGACTCAACACCACTATCTGATTGCGGTTGCTTAGATGAAAACTTGGAGACTTAATCGTTGCTCTATACCTACTTCTTGATACTCGAGGATTTTCGAATTCACAAAAAGACATTCAATTTGTTTATTATATTATGAAACGAGGGCATTTCGCACCCCGCACAAATGTAGCAGAACCCAGACCTACCCTGACCCAAAGTTGCCGAGCTGAGTGCGTCGACTTCACCTACACTGGCACAAGACGCGCTACTCCGACCTCAACGGCCCGAGCAACGAACATCCCACCCTGTTATTATTACCTCTAGTCAACATTGACATCCTCAAACCCATCCGCCGAAGGCGGCGGCGGCGGGCCATTCCCACTGCCGTCATGCGGCCCACCTCGCCGCCGACAACCCCTCGACTTCACCCAGTCCGCATAGTCATACATGATCAGCCGGTTCCGCTCCCACACCCCGGAGGCGTAGGGCATGGTGCCCGGCCCCGTCCTGTTCAGGTTCTCGTACCCGTCCCCGTCGACATCGCCATCGCCATCGCCATCGGCGTCGGACTCCGACACCGCCCCGTCCGAGTAGACCTCCACCGGCTCCTCCTCGAGTCGCGCGCACTTGGTGCACGGCTCGTCGATGCTGCCGGTGTGTTCTACGACTACCCCGGGACATTTTTCGGTGGTGGAGTCGGAGTCGGCGGTGGTTTCGGCGTTAGTGGCTTCGGTGCACCGGTGCATGGTCTCGTCGAGGACGCAGCCGCATCTGTAGGTGCGGATTGTGGAGGTGCACATTTTGCCTCTTTTGGGTAGGGGATTTGGGGGGCTCTTGTTGGGTCTGTGCGTTTGGTGGTTAGTGGGGAGAAGGGGGGTGAGGATGAGGGGAGGTGTGGTGTGACTATTGGATGAATGGGTAAGTGGGTGAGTTGAGGTTCTGTTGGTGTGTTGTGGTGGTTGGGGTGAGGTTGGTTTTATATTGTTTATGAAGGGATGAGGGTTTGGGTGGTAGGGGGGAAAGACAATGGGTTTTGTTTTGGGGTCTTTGTTGGAGGTTCCATTGCCATTTTGAGGGGAGTTTGTAGGGTGGTGTCCTTTATTCGGAGGGTTGTGAATGGGTTGGGGTTTGGGGTTGGTGATAGGGGTGAGACTATGAGGTTGTCGAGAATCTCCGGTTGTTTTTGGACAGGTAGTTAGGGTTGGTGGTTCACGTGAGGAGTTTTTGGGGTCGGGGGTGGGGGGGTTGGAGATGGTGGTGGTGATTTGAACTAGATTTGTACATGTAGGTAGGAGAGGATGGTAGGATTAAGTATTATTATGGGATTTTAGAGTATTTGGTTATTGTTTGAGGTTGAAGTTGGTGGATGGTGGAAGGTGTTGGGTTGGGTTGTGTCCGGCCATTGTATGTTCCCGTGCTCTTTCCATGCTCTTTCTTTCCCCTGATGAACTCGACCACTATTACTTCTTTCTGTTCGATCTTCTTAGATAACCTTGAACATCCCAGTCAGTTCGGATACCTCTTCTCACTTCTCACCTCTTTCCCTCTCCTTGTTCTCAATGATCTCAGCCCACCAGCCCTGAACCCCCTTAACGCCCACAATTCAAATCGTACCCCCCAAACCCCCCCTCCTCCCAAACCACCTCCTCCTCCCCCTCCTCCACCGCCCCCCTCACAGCCTCATACACCTCCCCAACAACGACCTCAAACGCCGGCATCCGCAGCAACGGAATCCGCCTCTCCCACCGCATCATATCCCGCAGAAACACCGTCCCCCACCACCACTCCAGCTGCCGGCAGTCGAGCTCCCGCATCTCGCGCGCCTTCTCAGTGTCCTTGTTCCCGTTCCTGCCACATTCCCCCTGCCCAGCTTCCCCCGCTTCATTACTACCTGTACCGCCACCGCTCCTGAGAAGCACAATCGACCGCTCCACCGCCGCCACCGCCTCCCGATACCGCCGATAGTACGTCGTCAGGTACATGTCCAGCTGCGCCGTGTACCGCGCCGCGTACGCCGCGAACGCCGCCCGGTCGACGTGGAACCGCACCGCGGACCGCGGGATCTTGGCCGACGGCGCCAGCGTCGGGCTGCCTGGGATGTAGTCGCGGCGCCAGTTGAAGAGGCGGTCGATGGATTGGGTGTGCGTTATTAGGGTGGCGGGGTTGGGCTTGGGTGGGGGTGCTGTTGCTGTTGCTGTTGCTGCTGCTGTAGCTGTATCTGGTGATGGGGCTGGTTCGGCTGCTGGTGTTGTGGGGTTGATGGATGGATCGGTGCTGGAGCTGGGAAAGGCACCAGGGCACAGGGCTTTGTAGCGAGCGGCGAAGCAGGTTTCCACGTGGCGTTGGACGCATAGGCTGTTGTAGGCGAGTAGGTAGCAGCGGTCGATGAGTTTGCGGGTGGTCGGCGGCAGGATGGTCAACACCCAGGGCGGGGGCTGCAGGGCCCGGTGGTCCCAGTTTATGCAGCCGGGCGGTGGGTTCAGCGTGCGGGTGGAGAGGTAGGACATTTCTCTCTGGTGATTGTGTTGTTTGCTTCTGGGGGTGATGTTTGGGGTGATGTTGACGGTTGGTTGGTTTCTGGATGAGGTGAGTGAGGTGGGTTGAAATGGCTGGGTGGAGATGGTTTATGGTGAGGGTGAGGATAGATGGAGGAGGATGGAGACAGGGAGGTGGAGAGGAAGAGAGAGGTCAGTCTCTGGAAATGTGTTCAGCTTCATGGCCCATTCGGTTCAAGTGAATTATTCACAAGTGTGGTGTGTTACTGGAAGTGATGGGAGAGCAGAAACCCTTGCCACAGGCAGCACAAGCCCTATCCTTCTCAAACCGTACTTCCTCCATGGCCTCTATCAACGTCACCCGGACATTGTGTTACTGACTACTAGAATCAATACTTAATGCACTCGTCACTATGAATCTGAAGCGGCATCTGATGTTATAAGCGAGGTATATTTCCATCCAACTATAAGAGCTAAACCCCAAGCCTTTACTGGACACTAGAAACATCGTTAGTACACACCAACTACACATCAACACACGAAGCATACCGTTCGATCAGATGAACGCCGGACGCGGTCTCAACAATACCGCTGACCTGTCCCGGCTGTAGCGCGAAGGCTGCGTCCTCGAACTCCTTCTGCATCTCCCCGCGTCCAAAGAATCCCCTAGAAACACATTAGCCCTGCGTCACACATCTCAAGAGAGTTCACATACAGATCACCCCGCTTGCGGGCGCTGCTGCAGTCCGACTCGGACATGGCGATGTCGCCCAAGGTAGCTTCGCCCGATTGGATGCGCTGCTCATGGCCACGGAGGATCTCAATAGCCTCCTCTTTTGACCGAGTGATCTCGGCCTCCCGCCAGCTGCTGGGCCGTCGGCTATCCCGGTGCTTCACCAGAAGGTGGCTGCAACGGATCTTTCCCTCACCCTGGCCGATCCCGTTTCCTGCAGGCCCGCTGTGATAGTCGGCCATGTATAGCTTGAGCTTCTCGGTGTTCGTGTCGGCGGGGGGTTCCCATCGGGACTCCTTGGTGCTCGGGTTGAAGTAGTAAGGGAGGTTCTTGGAGTTGGAGTGGCGAACCTCCCACCCTGCTGGAAGACCGGTTTCTACCTGTAGTGGAAGATGGGATGTTAGCAGTAAGCTTGGGAAACAATGACTGCAGAGGGTATAGATGGGTTGAGAGGAATGTGGACAGTGTGTGAATACCATTATGAATGTAGTGAACGTTTGTGTGTTGTGTCTCTAAGAGAGGTTTATAATTCTCTATGAGGTCTGATGTGTTGACAAAAAGAGGCTGAGAAGAAAAGCGGGGATAACTGAGATGTGTATAGACTTTGTTTCTTTCTGCAGGTCCGACTGCCTGCGGGACAAACTGCGGGGGAAGACAGACACCGAGAGGGACCCCCCAGCAAATAGTGCAAATACTGCAAATACTGCAAACAGCACAAACCGTGCCACCGACCTCCTCCACATGGCTGGCCACCTCACGCTGTTGTTGCTCCCGCTCCACCTCTTTCTTCTGACTTCCATCTCCCACTCATCTCTTATCTTCCGATACCTTGGCCCTCATCCAGTCTATTCAGCCACTGCTTCATTCTTTCACTCACAGCGCTTTACTTGCACTTCCGTTAAGACCACAAGAACGTCTCACTCCTTCTATCTTCCTCCAAACCACTACCGTCACTCACCGTCTTATCCATACGTCGAAAATGTCTGCAAGCCCAGCCTCCTCCGCTGGCGGCGAAACCAAGAGCGCCGACCAGATTCACTTTCGCTTCTGTCGCGAATGGTAGGCGCATCTCCTTCCATCTACCCCCACTTGACTCAATGCTGATGAGAATGTCTAGCTCCAACTTGCTGTACCCCAAGGAAGACCGCGTCAACAACCGCTTGATGTTCACATGCCGAACCTGCCATGTCGGCGAGCCCGCCACCTCCTACTGCGTCTACCAAAACAAACTCAACACCCAAGTCGGCGACACTGCTGGTGTCACCACAGATGTGGGATCCGATCCTACGGTTTGTCTCCCGGGTTTCTGTGATCACTGCGGGGAAGAGATTACCTGCTTTGTCTGCGAGTCATCGTCGGAGGAGTCATGGTCGGAAGAGGACTATGATGACTTCATGATGAACTGAGACCGGACTTGGTTCCCGTTCAAACGGCCACCTTCACATAACCTTGGGATTCTGTGGCTAACCCACACCTTTTTCTTGATATTAGCTTCCCCGGTCCAACAAGCTCTGCCCGAGCTGCGGTGAAGCCGAAGCAGTCTTCTTCCAGTCGCAACAGCGATCTGCGGAAACCGGAATGGTGAGGCCTTCTGCCTGCAATCTCCCCATCTCGAACATGCTGCTGACATCTTGTTTGCCTTTTCTCAGAAACTGTACTATGTGTGCTGCGCATGCGGCAATGTCTTCATGTAATCTTGGAGTTTTGTGTCTATTTCTGACGACCTGATACCCGATGTTGGTCTCTTTTCTTGCTATTTGCTGTGGAGTTATGGCGATGCTTGGGGAACAAAAAAGCTGCGAAGATCTTAATAGAAAGAGATGCAAACCGTTTATTGGTACAAGCTATTCAAAGTGAAAAAGAACAATTCGCTTTCGGGAGGTATAATTTATACATGCATGGGCGCCAATGACAAAATCTTCGACCACTGTCTTCCTCGTAATTCCGTAGCCACGACGCCTGTAGGGTGTATTAGTCTTGAGCCGTGTTAAGTGTGGGACCGGACTGACCGTTCATTCTGGTTCCGATGGGCTCGCCAGCCTTGTTGATCAGGACACATGCGTTGTCATCGAAGCGGACGATCGAACCATCGGGGCGCTGCATTTCCTTCCTGGCGCGGACGACGACGGCGTGACGGATATCACCACGACGGACCTTGTTCGCGATACCGGAATTTCCTGTCGAGTCGGAGCCGAAGTTACGCTGCTTCTGAACGACCACAACGATGCGGTCGCCTAAGATCGGGGAGAGTACTTTGTTAGCGATGCCTTCAGGAAAGGTCGTAGGTCGTAGAGACATACCAACAGTGGCGGGGCGCTTCTTCTTCAAGACCTGGACACACTCGACCACGGCGGCGCCCGAGTTGTCGATGCAGTTCAGCATCGTCTGCTCACCCGCGTCAGCAACCCGATCTCGGGGTCAGAATTGCCCAGAGATTTTTGTTTAAATACCTTAAGTTGAATCATTGTGACTGTAATGCCCTGAACTGGGGGGGGGAACAGTAGTTCGATGGGGGTGGTCAATCGGGTTTGGGCTGGACTGCCCGAAAGATTTCCCAGCCGCAGCAGCAGCAAAGTCCCGGGCCGGCAGGTTTCGCCGATGACCGACCCCGGACTAGATTCACTAACTTAACATTAGTTAACTTACTGTACTGTAACTTACTGTGCCTGCACCACAGGCGCTTTGAAAGAAGGCGGCGGCGGCGGCGGCGGCTGAATGTTGACTGAAAGACTGACTAGACTAGACTAGACTAGACTAGTCACTTCAAGGTTAGCCATAGTCTTACTACTAGGTAGTCATACATACTAAGTAAGTAAATTATGGACATCCGCTCATCGCATGGGCAACCAGCGCCCGTAATCTGTGTGTTCCTCCCAATTCACTCCCTCACTCACTTTAGTAACTACTAACTCACTCACCATCACACATCTTTCCACTCCACCACCACAATCACAATCCACCCCCCCCGGCTCTTCTTACATGCGCGCTAACCTTCTGTCTAGCCCTGCTCGTTTCCTTTGTTCATCATGTCAATTCTCTTGGATTTCCTGTCCTTCACTCTCTAGTCTTCCCCCCCCTAAATTATTAACCTTCTCATCCAATTGGCGCTTCCCCGTACCGAATCCATTTACTGTGATTCTTCTCCGACTTTCCGCCGCTTCCCCTTGACGCATTGACGCACTCTTTCGGATTCCACCTTCGACGTCCCCTTCCTTGACTCGAGCACCAAATTTTTTTCCTCACATGGGATTTGCCCTCCCTCGCAGAACATTATGCCGTCTTCGAAGGCGAGATCGAGTCCTTCCGCTGAGCGTCGCGACCGTCTGACTTTGGCAAGGCTGGCAAGTTATGATGATGTCGCAACCGATGCGCTCGTTGACCGTGTACGTCCACTGACCGGGGATGGCTGCTCCTGCACTGCTTGTTGACTGTAGTACGTTCTTAGGCCCACTTCTGGACGAATACTCGAAAGAATCGGACAAAATACATTCCTTTACGGCGGGTCAAGGACGATGAGATCGCGAACATCCTGCTCCACGACGTGATCGTGAAGAAGGATGTCCCAACCGCCGAACGGAAATTTCTGGCCATGGACGGACTGAAGCGATTCATGGCGAAGCTGCCAAACGACCGCGAAAAGGAGTGGTTCACCCGACACTTACGCAAATATATCCAGATGTATCTGCCGGATTCGCCCTTCGAGGTCACCACGACGAATCGCTACCTGATCACCGAGCACGAGGCGGCCATCTGCGCCCGTAAGTTCATCAAGCAAGGTGAGGAGATCAAGTACCTCAGCGGCACCTTGGTGCCCATGACCCGGGAGGAGGAGCAGGACTTGGATCTGAAGAGGAAGGATTTTAGCATCGTGATGTCGAGCAGGAGGAAGACCCCATCGTTCTTCCTGGGCCCCGCGCGCTTCGCCAACCACGACTGTAATGCTAATGGTCGCTTGGTGACGAGGGGCATGGAGGGGATGCAGGTCGTCGCGATCCGGGACATTTATATTGGCGAGGAGATTACGGTCTCGTACGGCGAGGACTACTTTGGCATTGACAACTGCGAGTGCCTGTGCTTGACGTGTGAACGTGCCGTGCGGAATGGGTGGGCGCCTTCCGAGCCCAGCGACGAGCCTGCCTGTGCGGACACTGGCCTTCTCACCCCTCAGAAACGCAAATATGCCCCCGATACCGAATCCGAACCCTCGCCATCCTCCACCCCTCGCAAACGCACAAAATTCACCCGACAGAGTTCGAAGCTGCGATCGGAGCTGTTGCTTTCCGACGCCCCCGCATCCCCCGAGTCCGCGACTGGTCTGTCGTCTACGAACGCCGGTTCCTCAGCACCCAATACCAGGAGCCGGAAAGCTGAACTCAAAAGCGAGGCTCTCAGTGAGGTCTGCATCCAGAGTCCCAGCGCCACTGACTGCACGTCTCCTAGCTCGCTTGCCGGGGACGAATCTCACCACTCAGCGTCCACTGTCGCAACCTCCATTGGTGAATTTTCAGTCCAGATTAAAATCGAGGAGTCCACCGAGGCTTCGGTTCGAGATACGGTACTGATTGGCAAAGATGAGCTTGCCACCCCCGGTGCAAGTCAACCCGACGGAGAAAGGCATCTCGCGTCTCATGAACATGATGCCCTATCAGATTTATCCGGGTCCTTGGAGCTAGACGAGAAGCTTGGAACTGTGGTCGAGAAACTAAACAAGGCGCGGAAGCGAGGTGTCGTTCCCTCGGTCGAGGTCGAGTCACAGCGGGCTCGAGTCCCCGGAGACTATACCAAGACCCCTAGGTTGCTCGCACAGGTTTACGATCGGTGGGTAGACTGCCGCACTTGTACGGCCTGGTTCGTCCAGCAAGATTCCTACCTGACCAGACGTGAATGTCGTCGATGCGAACGGCATTCGATGCTATATGGCTTCCAGTGGCCCAAAACTGACAAGGAGGGTCCCAACGACGACGAAGAACGGGTCATGGACCATCGGGTCATCCATCGATTCCTTTCCCCTGAAGAAGAAGCCCGTGTCTCCCGCAAGGATCGCGGTGTCAGTTTTGGCGTGACTCCGACCCCGGAACTGTCGGAGCCACGCACGGAGACAGACGAGAGCGAGGCGTGCGATGAGCGTCGCAGCACGCGAGCCAGCAGGCAGCGGACCCGAGCAATGCGGATGACCTACTAACGATGGCGATGTTTGAATAATAATTGGTTTGGGCGATTTTTGGGCACGGCGTTTGAGAACAACTGGAGCCATTCCCAGTGGAACCCAGGCGTTGGATGATGACGAGCATGAGCGGTTTGACACCTTTGACGGCTTTTGGCGGCTATTATCTATGGACATATTCGATACTTTTGATTTATTCCCTTTCTTCTGGATTTCCTCCCTTTACTTTACCTCTGGACCGGAGGGGCTTCACTGTACAGTGCTGGTCGGCGTTCCGCTTCTGATCTTAGTTGTATGCTTACAAGGCCTATCGCAACACCCAGGCCATCTGGGATTGGAATCGATGATCTTTTCCTGCAATTCGCCGGATATTCCCCCGCAGCGTCTTCAAATCATGCGTGTCTGCCTTCTCCTCCTTGCTTCCCCGCCAAACTCCTGCAACTCCGCATTTTCGCCATGACTGCATCGTGAGGGAGAATTCAATCGCACCAATGGTAGACAAGAAGTGCCACGCTTCCCCGGTTTTTCATGACACCTGACGAAGGATTTCTTTAATTGTTCCTGCACCGCATATGCAGGTCAATACAACTTCGGTCTCTTTCTACCCGATTTACGGTCGCTCATCATGGCCAAGATGTACTTAAAAGCCTCCTCTTTCTCCGACTGCCGAGATGCCCGCTGTACGACCGTGTGACCAAAGCATGCCAACATGATTATGCGATCAATATCTCGCAGGGTCTTGTGCCTCCTAGCTCTGTTCGTGTCTGCGATCAACGCCTACGAGGCGCCTCTGGTGACTCTCGACTATGGAGTCTTCCAAGGCAGGTATGACGCGACTTATAACCTGTCCTATTTCCGGAAAATCCCCTTTGCAGCACCCCCAACGGGCGAAAATCGGTTTCGAGCTCCCCAACCCCCACTGAGCATTACAAATGGCACCTATGACAGTAATCAGGCCTTCGATATGTGCCCTCAGCGCACTGTCAATGGCTCGGAGGACTGTCTATACCTCGGACTCTACTCTCGGCCTTGGGAGGTCTCCTCTGCGAATCGGCCTGTGCTGGTGGTCTTCTACGGCGGCGCCTTCATCGAAGGTAGCGCATCCTTTACCCTGCCCCCGAGCGCCTATCCAACTCTCAACGTCAGCACCCTCAACGACTATATCGTGATCTATCCCAACTACCGCACCAATGCCTTTGGATTCCTCCCAGGCCAAGCGATCAAAGACTCGTCCACCTCCGACCTCAACCCGGGCCTGCTGGATCAACAGTATGTCCTCAAATGGGTCCAAAAGAACATCCACCACTTCGGCGGGAACCCGAACAACGTAACGATCTGGGGCCAGTCGGCCGGCGCGGGGTCCGTCGTCGCGCAGATCCTGGCGAACGGCCGCGGCAAGCAGCCTAAGCTCTTCAGCAAAGCCCTCGCCAGCTCGCCCTTCTGGCCCAAGACCTACGCCTATAACGCGCCCCAAGCCGAAGCCATCTACTCCCAGCTGGTGAATCTGACCGGCTGCGGCAATTCCACAGTGAAAGATTCTCTGCGCTGCCTCAAGGCCGTCGACGTGCAGACCATCCGCGACGCCAGCCTCGTCATCGACGCCAGCCACACCTACACCACCAGCTCCTACACCTGGGCGCCCGTCATCGACGGCGAATTCCTGATCGACACCCTCAGCGAGGCCACCGCGCGCGGCACCCTCCCCACGGACTTCATCTGGGGCATGTACAACTCCCACGAGGGCGAGAACTTCGTCCCAGCCGGCCTGGGCTCGACCACCACCACATCCACGGGCTTCAACTCCTCGCTCGCCAGCTTCCAGTCCTGGGTCTCCGGGTTTGTCCCCGGCCTAACCTCCCACGAGATCAGCCTCCTCGAATCCCAGTACTACCCGCCGGTAGGCAGCACCGAGACGGTCGACGACTACAACACTACCCTCGTCCGCGCCGGCCTGATCTACCGAGACTTGGTCCTCGCCTGCCCGGCCTACTGGGTCGCCTCCGCCGCAGGGACCAACGGGTACCTCGGGGAATATACCATTTCGCCCGCCAAGCACGGCAGTGACACCGAGTGGGTGAGTCTCCCTTTTTGTTGGTTCCCCCCCAAAACTACATCCCAGATCCCTAATTTGTTTGTTGGCGGTAGTGGAACCAAGTAAACGCCATCCAACAATCTGACCCCCTCATCTACGACGGCTACGCCGGCGCCTTCGCCAGCTTCTTCCAGACAGGAAACCCCGACGCGCACAAATTGACGAATGCGTCGCAACCCGGCGTCCCGCTGCTCCGTACTACGGGCCAGGAGTTTGTGGTGGAGGTGGACGGGTTCGAGAATGTGAGGTTGGTCGAGTTGCCGAGACGGTGTGCGTTTTGGAGGGCGGTCGCGGGGAGGGTTCCTGTTTAGCCTGCTTGGGTATGCGTATACAGTTCCTGCTTGGGAGGAGGGGGAAGGAAAGATGGTGTGCGGGCTTCGGTTTGTGTGGGGGTAAAGTGATGTGTGTTTCTTTGTGGTGGGGTGGGTTCGATAGGTGTGGGTTGTGGAATGGGTATGCATGGTCATGGGTCGTGGGTCATTCATGGTGGTGAGTGAGTGGGTTAGTACGCGAGTGAAGTTCATGAAAGAGGTTCTCTATCTTAACGGCTGGGTGAGAAGAGTTGAGTGAGTACACAGTACAGAGGACAGTGTTGAGTAGAAATCTATGAGAAACTATACATACAGGGTTATAATACATATCCTTTTCCCCGATCCCCAATCCCCCGGTTGCAAGAAGAAGAAAAAATAAAAAAATGCAGGTCTAGTAGTGTATGATATCAATGAAACGTTTCCATGCCGAGAGAGATTAAATTGCCTGCGTCCCATTTTTGCTTTTAAGAGTCCACCTTTTCAGAAATACAGAAACGCCGGAGTAGTCGTAAGGTACAGAGTTGTATCGGAGGGAGTTGATGAAGAGAGATTATGCAGGTTTTTTTTGGGGGGGGGGGGGGGAAAATGCAGGCGGCCTAGATCAAGGCCTGGCCCCGGAACATGGCCTCGCGGACCTCCTTGACGACATCCTTGCGGTCGTTCTTGCCGACCAGGACGACGGCGCGGCCGCGCTTGCCCATGCGGCCGAGGCGGCCCAGCCGGTGGATGAAGTCGATGGTGGTGCGGGGGACGTCGTACAGCACCACGGTCTTGACGGCGAGGGTGTCGACGCCGCGCGAGGCGATGTCCGTCGACACCAGGACCTGGACGTTCTCGAGGCGCTTCTCGGGCGGCGGGCCGGCGTACGGGTCGCCGCCGGCGTTGACGAAGGGGATGGAGCGGTCCTCGCGGCGGCGCTTCTTCTCGGTCTCCATCGCCTCCAGGACCTGGGCGGCGGTCATGGGCGGCGCCCAGTCGGTGAAGGGGGCCAGGATCTCGCGCTCCTTGCGGTCGGTGACGTCGCGGGTGAAGGCCTTGGCGTCGATGCCTTTGCTCTTCAGGAACTGCGCGACCTCGGTGGCGTCCTCGCGGCGGTTGACGAACACCAGGATGCGCTTGTCCTGCGAGCGGGCCTGGCCGGGCCCCAGGTCGTCGCCGCCGGAGTCGCCGGCCTTGCCGATGGACCAGATGATGTCGGCGCAGGCGAGCGAGCGGTTGCCGTTGTAGGGGGGTTTCTGGACGTCAATCACGCCCAGCTGGACGCGGCGCGGGATGGCGTGCAGGCTCGGGGTGGTCAGGCGCTTGATGTCGGGCCAACGCTTGCGCAGGGTGGCGTCCATGCCGCGCGGGATGGTGGCAGAGCAGAGGACGAGCTTGTGGAGGGAGGGGGTGGCCTTGCTGATGATCTCGTTGAGGATGGGCGAGAAGGACTTGTCCAGGAGACTGTCGGCCTCGTCGAGCACCATGTAGTTGACGCGGCTCAGCACGTACGGCTCCTTCTCCGCGATCGAGGCCAGCAGGTGCGGCGTCGTCACGATGATGTCGACCCCCTTCTCATTGAACAGGCCGTTCTTGATCCGCCGCGGCGTCAGGTTGGAGGCCAGCACCGCGGACCGGAACTTGACCGTGTGCGAGAAGGCCTTGAGCTTGTCGCCCACCTGGAAGGCCAGCTCGGAGGTCGGCACCAGGATCACCATGCGCGGCCGGGCCGCGTTGGACAGCGGGGGCTCTTCGGGCGCGATGTCGAACGCCCGGTTCTTCGTCTTCAGCTCCCGCTCCTTCTCGCGCTGCTTGGCCTCCTCCTCTTTCTTCTCGTGGGCCGCCTCGGCCGCCTCCAGGCGCTTGAAGTTGTCCAGCAGCGGGATCAGGTATGCCAGGGTCTTGCCGGAACCGGTCTCCGCGGCCAGGAGGTACTGTTCGTATTTGGGGTCGCTGCTTGGCGGCGCGCCCAGTGGCGGGAGCGGGTCCTTGAGGAGTTCGGGGATCGCAACCCGCTGGATCGGGGTGGGCATGAGATCCGTCAGCCCGGGGAGCGCCTGGGAAGAGATCGAGTGGTGGACGACCGAGATGAGCGGGAAATGATCGAAGCTGGTGATTTCGGCGATTCTCTCCTTGACCTTGGTGCGCTGGGCGTAGGACACCGGCGCCAATGCGGTTTGCATCTTCAAGGCCTTGTATAGAGGGCTCTCCGGTTTGCTACCCTTGTCTTTACCGCCATCCTTCCTGGGGTCTCTGTCTCCCCGGCTGGCCCCCCGGCTGTCCCTCGTCCGGGAGCGGGAGGCAAGCTCCTCCGGCACCTGGGTGATGTTCGTGCCGCCCCAGGGTCCCTTTCTCTCCCGCGACGCGCGAGGAGCTAGTGAGGTTCGAGACACGTTCGAGGACAGGGCATGGCGACTCTTCTTTCCGCGTCGTTCTGGTCTCCGTCCGATACCACGGATGGCCTGCCATCCGGTTAAGGGCGAAAGGGTGGAGGTAATGGAGGGTATGGTGGTTCGGGTTTGACAGAGCAGACATACTCTGGGCCGGAGTGGCAGGGATGAACGGCCAAGACGATTCATCCTGAGGGAGGGAGGGAGGGAGGAATTTGAGGAGACGCAGGAAAGAGGGAGGAGAGGAAGGGAAAGGGGAGAAAGAGAGAGAGAGAGGGAAAAGGGAAAGGTGAAGAGCACGAGTCGGTCGAATTGTCCCGAAGCTGCAAGAATGAGGATGGACGGAGAACTGCAGCGGAGTAAGTTGGAACTGCAGTGAGTGAGTGGCGGAGAAGATTCAGCAGGCTCCGGCCGAATCGGGCAGGCGCTTGGACCAGGTCACTGATCCGAGCGCTAAGACTGGATTGGGACTAGGGCGATCGTGACAGGTTATGCCCCAGGCCGCCAGGCCGCCAGGCACCCAACTACGTAGTTGTTCTGCCAACTGGGCTGTGGCTGCTTTGCCTGGTCGAGTCCCTCAGCTGAAACTGAAACCCCACTCTTTCCACCTCCCATCAAGGCAAACCAAGGCTCGAGGCTTTATTGTGGAGTTGCCATAGAAACTGCCGTCACCGAACCAGACATCAACATCCCCTCCCCTGCAGTCCCTGCAGTCACGGCAGTCACTGCTTTCGCTTTTCCACTCTTTGCCCGTCCAACTTTCCAAGATCTCGAATTGGGTTGAGTTGAGTTGAGTTGAGTTGAGTATTGATCAACCAGCCCCGTCAATCAATCAGTCAATCAATCAATCGATCGGGATCTTGACTGTTGCTGCCCCGTGCCTACCTGGGTACCTACTTAAGTTATTATTTATCGGGCAAGACACGTTCCTCTTCATCTAAATTTCGTTGTGTTTTGATTTTCTCTCTTCGTTCTTCTTCTTGCTTCTACTTCCTACTTCCTACTTTCTACTTTCTACTTTCATCCCAGCGAGCAACCAAGTATTCACTGCCTTTCTTTCTGTCTTCCTCTCGTTGATTCGTTTGGTGGATTGGCCTGTGTTTTTCTTTCTCTTATCGCATCCCATCAGCCTTGGCTTGTTGATTGTTAAGTTACAGGTTACAGGTTACATTTTACAGTATACTTCTTACTACTTCCTTCGTTTGATCGCGAATCGCGACAAGACACTTGACTTGACGAATTGGCTGCAGTTGGTGACGCAACCTTATTCATTCCTCTTTTCTTCCATTACCACCATTTACCCATGTGCTGTGCAAACGCCTTTTTGAAGTAATCGCGACGCCATTGTTCTCCCTGCATTCCTGGATTTGCTGGCTGTTTCTTCTTGTCTTCGGCTTATCAGCGCGTCTCTCTCTCTCTCTGTGTGTGGGTGCTTTTCCTCCCCCCGTCCCCGTTCCGTCCCCATCCCCAAATCGTAGGCCGCTCCAGCTCTGAGCGCGTTCTTCATCCCGCAAGGGATGAAACTTCGTTGCAGCGACCTTGCATTGCTAGGTGGTGTTGCATGGACAGTTGCTGATTCAGCTGCCAGCGTTGTTTTTTCCCTCCCGACGCCTCGTTCCTGCTGCATTCCATCCTTACGCCTCTGATTGTGGGTTTCCACCAAGATGACCAGCAATCCCGGGCAAAGTCCGCTATCAGAAGTGAGCCCAATGGCTCAACGCAGAAACTCCCCCAGCTGGAACCAATCCACCAAGGTGCGTGGCTCCCGCGAGTCGGTGATGGACGCGCTGGGCTGACCAACCAACTGCAGATGATGAAAACACACGATGCGTCGCCCTATGAGGCGCCAGCGTCACCGCGTCTCTTCTGGCAGGGTCGGGAATCAGGATCTCCCTTCCATAGAGGCTCAGAGAACCAGAACCTCTATGATCCTGATGTCTCGACATATACTCCCTCCAAGCGCCCGTCTTTGGAAAACCTGAAGCGCGCCTCCAGGGTCAAGAATAACAACATGTTCCGCGACCAAAATGCAGAGTATGACCCCACGCAAGTCTATGTTCCACAGCGACCTTTGGCCCTCAATCGATCATCCCAGAGGCAAGCGCAGAACCCACCACCAGCACAGCAGCCCGACCCCCAGGACACCAACCCGGTCGGCCCGCGGCCCCCTTCCCCGAGCAAGGACCAGGTTGCCCCGGCAAAATCCTCGCTGTCCCGGGCTAGTCGATTCGGTGGTAAGGACGCTGCTTTCGACCCCGAGAACGAGATCTGGTCGGACATCGACGGTAGTCGACATGCTAAAAGCGTGACATTCGATGCGGCTCCTCCTCAGGTCAACGAATATGAGATGACAACTCCGGATCCATCCTCCGTCGCCTCCGACTCCCGCGAAGGTAGCTATGACTCCGAGGAAAATGAGAACGATATCAGCTTCGATCGGGAATCCTCGCTCGAGCGCGACGACAGCTTCGACGCATCCCTGGAAGACCTCGAGAAAACACCAGTGGTGCTGCCAGAGGACTGGCGCTATATGAGCCCTGAATCTGCGAATGACGAACTGGTCGAAGAGGGAAGGGGTCAGTTCACCGAGGATGACGAAGACCATAGCCCCATCCCCCGCCCGTCCTCCCAGCAAGAGCATCCCATGCAGCATGCCCGGGTGGAGTCACTGGATTCAAATGTTGATCGCCGTCCCCTTCCTCCTCTCCCTCCCACTAACCGGCCTCAATTCCCTCAGCGTGGATCGCCGGGAAAGATGACGGCCGCTTTTGAGCTTGGAAGTGGGAACCAGCGCGTTCTTCCTTCTCCACCAGCCCCCGCATCTTACAGCAAATCCGACATCACGGAACGGAACCATGGCCATATGTCCCTGGAAGAGAGGCTGCGTCTGATGATGATCGAGAAGAAGGAGCCGATAACTGAGGAAATCGAACTGGATGGCCCGGAGACACCCAAGGCTCTTCCCGAGGAGCCACAGGAGCAGATTGCAGTCAAGGAGGCCCCTGCCACTCAGGAAACAGATACTCCAGCGAAGGACGACGCAGATGTTTACACCCCTCCGCGCATCTCGAGGGATTCGATTCTCCGAGATCTGCGTAAGAGCGAGAGCTTCCTGGATGACTCCTTTGAGGATGCTTCTCAGGCGGAGTCTAGCCCCAACCATTACTTCGATTATGACCCGGACGTCCCAATTCCTTCCATGGAGCACGATCATGATGATAGCCACGACTATGACGACGACAATGACGATGAGACCAGCAGTGTGATCATCAAGCCCGAAGAGCATGATGATTCTCTTTATGACATTCCAGAATACTACGAAAACGTAAACTCGGAGCAGTCTTCTTCGCAATGCTTAAAGGATAAGATGGATGATGACGAAAGTCGTTACTCCAGCCAACCTCCGGAAGAGGTGTCCGTGCTGGAGGAGGATGACTCGCACGACTTTGATGACAGGCAATCCACACCACTTGCTACCGTGCAGACACAAGAGACGCCGGTCAATATTACTGTTGATGCCCCAGCTGATGAGACGGCTAATGAGCCGATTGATGAGTCAGTCGATGAATCACTTGATGAGTCGCAGGTATCTACCATCAGCGAGGAAAGGTCTGCTGATAAGATGGCCGCCATGCGGGAGTCACTTCAGCGCCCATCGACGCCAGATAGCCAGAATCAATTATCGGAGCCTTCTACCCCTGATTCTGTCGTTCGACACCCTGTGGCTGACGAGCAGAGCGATCGCGAGGTCTCGCCAGACGAGAGTGTTCCGGATCCGATTGCCACAGTCAAAGCACCAGGAACTCGCCTCAAGACGCGTCCCTCACTGACCCCAGCCGATATGGAACAGATGGCAGCCACTCGCCGGAAAATTAGCGGGCAGGTGCCACCACCAATGCCATACCTTACAAAACAGGAATCCAACGAATCCCAGGCGTCAGCACCGGGTGATGCCGTGCCATCACTACCTCCACCCGTGCAGGAGAATCAAAGACAGAGTAGTCTTGTGAAGCTGGACATTCCGTTCAGCATCCAGGAAGAAGAGAGCCTTGGATTTGGATTGGACAAAGAATTCGATAGGGTCATTGAATCTCAAAAGGTGGCGTTTGAACATTTCCTCTCCCAACTGCGTCTCCACGGCCAGGAAGCACCCAAGCATGGACCAGCCCCCCAGTTCTTGAGTTCGAGACATCGGACTAATAATAATCACCCCAAACAGAGAGGTTATCTTATGCGGCACAATACCAAGGTTATCATTGCGAGCAGCAGCACCGAAGACGACACTGTGCCAACTCCAGGAGAAGATCCAGCTGAATCTCGAGCCACACGCGCCGCGCCCACGCCGCGTAAGGCCAGCCAGCAGACTTGGACCACTGTACCCTGGAACGGTCAGACTCGCCGGGCGAGTATGAGAACGGCCAGCGGAGTGGTTCGAAAGAAGGCTACGTCAGGCCCGGTACCGCCGCTCCCAGGCCAGCAAAGCAGCGTCCAGGAGCCGACAACCACGATCGAGGAGGCGGAGCCTGCTCTCAATGGCGCTCTCGAAGAGGGTGAAGAGCGAGGCCGTCTTTTCGTCAAGGTTGTTGGGATGAAATACCTCGATCTGCCTCTGCCACGAGGTAAGTATTGAAACTTGCGATCAGTTTTGTGGTCCTTTCGCCGCTAACCAGACTGTAGGTGAGAGATCGTACTTTGCCCTTACTTTGGACAACGGCCTGCATTGCGTCACCACCTCTTGGTTGGAACTAGGCAAGACAGCGCCCATCGGCCAGGAGTTCGAGCTCATTGTCCAACAGGACCTTGAGTTCCAGCTGACCTTGCAAATGAAGGTGGATGAGGAGAAGTTTCGAGTGCAGGAGCCTGCCCCTACTGCCTCGCCTAGTCGCCCCAAGACTTCCACATTCAGCCGTGTGTTTGCTTCTCCGCGCAAGCGCAAGGAGCTCGAGATGAAGCAGCAACTTGCCAACCAGCAAAATAAAGCCAAAGATATCAACGCTCCTGTGTGGGAGCGATTGAGGACTTTGGTCGCCAGAGATGGCAGTTTTGCGCGCGCATATGTCTCTCTTAGCGACCATGAGAAACACGCCTATGGTCGGCCCTACAATGTTGATATTGCGTGCTTCAATGAATGGGCGGTTGAAGAGCAGCCGAGCAGTGTCAAGAGCAAGAAGAGTACGACAAGTACGACTTCTCAGCGAAGACCTCCTTATAAGATTGGAAAGCTGGAGCTCCAGCTGTTGTTTGTCCCCAAGCCCAAGGGTGCCAAGGAGGAGGATATGCCCAAGAGCATGAATGCCTGCATTCGGGAAATGCGTGAGGCGGAGAGCGTCTCTGCTCGTAGTTTCGAGGGATTTTTGTCACAGCAGGGTGGTGACTGCCCGGTAAGTCCCCTTTGAGATGCACCAGGTGTGGCTTTTGCTGATGTCGATGGCATAGTACTGGCGTCGTCGCTTCTTTAAGCTTCAGGGATCCAAATTGACCGCCTACCACGAGACCACCCGTCAACCACGTGCCACGATCAACCTTTCGAAGGCAGTCAAGTTGATTGATGACCGATCTTCGCTGATGCAGAAAGAGACCACCACCCGGGGTGGTGGCCGTCGCAAGTCTGCGTTTGCTGAGGAAGAGGAAGGTTATATGTTCGTGGAGGAAGGGTTCCGTATTCGCTTCGGCAACGGCGAAGTGATTGATTTCTACGCTGACAGCGCGGCCGACAAGGACGGATGGATGAAGGTCCTTGCCGATGCGGTGGGCAAAGGATCTTCGGGAAGCAGCCAGGCCAAGCTCTGGACCGAGATGGTCCTTAAGCGGGAGCGGAGTATGAAAGTGAAGCGGGAGTCCACCGCTGCCGCCCCTGCAGCTTCCGCTCCTGCTGCCCCTACTGCTCCTGCTCCTGCTCCTCCTGCTCCTTCTGCTGCCGAACGTCGTCTCAGTCAAATCCCTCCTCCGCCTCCTGCCAAACCCACCTCGTCCATTCCGATGCCGACGGCGCCGGCGCCGACCTCGGCTTCCAAACCTCGACACAAGCACACCCAATCTCAGCCGGACGTTCGCGGTGCGGATGCTCGACGACAGAAGACCCGGTCCTTGATGTTCTAGACGCGTGCGTGAGTGAGTGAGTGGTAGGAGCAGTGGCAATTGCGCAGCTCGGCTTGTACGTTCTGCATTTTTTGTTGTCTATTCTCGCGATATGTCCCATTCAAATCTGCTTGTTTATTCATTGTCGTTCTTGTGCTTATCTTCCTGGTGTCGGAGTCCAAAGCCTGCGCTGCTGCATTTTTCTGCTTCTTGTCTGATAGCCTTTGACCCTTTGAAAATCTCCTTGTGCATTCAGCGTTGTCGCTCTTGTTTCTGTCCTTGCGGTGCCGTACTTGATACATAGCGTCTTTCCTTCACAAGTTCATAATGAATCTTGATCTTTTCATGTATCATAATGCGGTAATATATTGTTCTATTGGGTGTAATTTTGTCTGCGTAAGACTTGGAAAGAATAGTCGCTTGTGTCCGCGTGGCATTTACGATGAGAATGTTGAATACTGATAATATGCTGATTTATTTAGTGGCCCAAAGAGGAACGTTTGATTCCTTTGAGATTCATAGAATCGGCGAGGAAGGAAGAAACCTACAAGGGTTCGCGGTGGTTACATAGTCGCAGTTCCGTTTTCACGTCATGTGATCCGATGACCTCAGGCGTCATACGCACGCCGAAAGAGCAACCTCAGTATTATATATAATTCTACGTTTGGTAGTACGATCGAAGGGCTCCGCACATTCTTTACATTCTATTCTGTACATATATCTAATTTCCGAATCCCTAGTAGAGAAGCAGAAAAGAAGACATAATATATTTTGTTTGATTCATTCTTTATTTTTTATTTTTTCCTTTGGAGAGGCGTCTACATCTACTCCTCTCAAACCCTTCTAACCTTTCGAGCCCCACGCAAGCTCCTTGATTGGACCAAACACCCAAATCAAAACTCAACCACTCTGATCGATATTCGCCTTGGTCGCCCCCTCCTCATCCTCGGACTCATCCTCGATCTGCGCCAAGGCGTCCTTCTGCGATTGCTTCATCGCATTCGCATCGGTGGCGGTTCCTTCCTCGACGGCGCCGGGGACGGGCGTGATCTTGGCGGCGGGGATGCCGCCGGAGGTGACGTAGAGGAATTCCTTGGAGGAGTAGTGATCGAGGTGGCCGAAGAACGCGGAGAATCTGTGGGTGAGTTAGTCTTGGAATGCCCACCTTGTTTTTTTAGGGGGGCGGGGTTTAAAGGCTAAGCAAGACAAGACAAGGAAAGGGCAAACATACGCATTAGTCTCCTCCTCCTCGCGGAAGATGCGGTCGTAGATCTCGCGCTGCTTGAACTCGTCGATGGTGGTCTTGTAATTGTCGAAGTTGATGGGCTGCTTGCTGGTCTCGACGGCCTTCTTGTTGTACACATCAAACACCGGCCGCTCGAGGAGCAGGCCCAGCCCGGGGGCCTTGGGGATGGCGATCTTGGTGGGACCGTAGGACTCCCGGATGAGGCGGGCGGGGTCGCAGCCGGCGCGCACGGCCATGGCGGCCATGGCGACCATCTTGCGGATCTGGTGCATCATGAAGCTCTGGCCGTGGACCTTGAGGCTGAGCCACTCGGTGCCGTTGATGAGGAGCGGCGACGAGGCCGAGACGTTGAACGATTTGATGTGTCGCTTCGAGGACGGGTCCTTGTGCGTCTTTTGGATCGTGTAGTTCCAGAAGTTGTTCGTGCCCACGTACTGCGACAGCGCGGCCTGCACGCGTGCTAGTCGGGTCGGCGAGATCCGGTACGCCCGCTTGGCTTTCAGGTAGGCTTGTTTGATGGTCTTCACCGTGCTGATGATCTGTTGGCGGCGGGCTTCGTCGGCGGAGGTTGTTTCGGATGTCGTGGTGGTGGTGGTTTCGTCCGATGGTTTGGGGGTGGGTTCTTGTTCCGGGTCTTGGTCATCGTTTATGTGCAGGGCTTGCTCGACGAGCTTGCGGATCTCCTCGGGCGTGTTCTCGAGGATCGGCCGGATGATCTTCTCGTCGGTTTCCTCCCAGAACCCGGCGACTTCTTCCTGGCGCGCGCGGTAGCCTTCCATGTCGTTTTCTTGCTCGGCGAACTCGACCAGCTGCTTGCCCAGGAAGGTGCCCGGGTGGGGCGGCAGGAAGCAGTGCGTGGGGATCAGGTACTCGTAAATGCGCGAGTCGCACAGCTGGTAGCTGCTGAACGACTTGTTGGTGACGAGGATGTCCCAGACGCGGATCTGCGGGCTCAGCTTCTCGTTGATCTTCTGGATGATGTCCGGGTCCTCGACGATCAGCTTCAGCGACACGATGTTTCCGGCGGCGTGCACGCCCTTGTCGGTGCGCGCGCAGCGCACCAGCGACGACTTCTTCGGATCCGTGGCGTTGGCCTTGGAGATGGCGCCGGCGGCGACGAGAGCCGTGAACAATTCGCCCTCGATGGTCTTTTCGGTGGTGCTCCTTTGTTTTCGCAACGAAAGCGCATTAGCTGGCAGCTCTTCACCTATTTACCCGCTGGCGTAGGTGCTTACAGTTGCATGCCCTTATACCCCGTGCCGGAATATCCCATCAACACCGCAACCTTCTTCTTCGGCCGCCGTTGCTCATTCTCGATATCCTCTTGGGAGAATTGCGTCGCATAGACGGGCGCCTGCACCTCCTCGCCATTCTCGAGTTTCTGGCGCTTGACCTCCTGCTCCTCTTCGTTGCGAGCACGTTTATCTATCGTTTGACGACTTGCTTGGGTGGATGAAAATGTCAGCTTGAAAAAAGTTTCGCGGCCGCAGCCCTCCTCCCCTCCCCCCCCTCCACAAGTTCAGTAGATCTTTTTTTTTTTTTTTTTTGGGGAAACACAAAAAGAACATACCTCCACTCCGAACGGCCCAGATTCCTTTTTTTACGATTTTCGCGAGCGTCACCGGATCCTGGTGTAGATCTTCCTTCGTGATTGTCCATTGTTGGAACTCTTTGACGTGATTGCGATATCTGCGACTCTCGAAGCGGACTTGTTGCTGGCTGTTGAGGGGTTTGGGGATGAAGCGTTGACCCGCGGCGGGTGAGCGAGGAATGGATCGATAGGAGAGACTCGGAGACTTGGGGGGCCCGCGTGTAGAATGGCGGAGGCTGAGGTGGAGGAATTGTTGTGGCATTGGAGATGGAGATGAAATTACTATCATGGCGGGCGGGCTTTTCTTTTCTTGCGCTCCGGAGGGTGATTTCTCGGGCCCAGCCAGTCATAGTAAGTAGCCAACATCCGTCGCTTGCCTCAGGTGTCAAGGCAAGGCCAACCTCCGCTCATTCTTCCTTCATCTCCAACGCTCCTCCGTTTGTTCACTTTCCCCTCCGCCCTCCGCTTTCTTTGATCTTTTCTTCCTTCTCTTTCTTCCTTTGGTGGTAACTCTACTACTCCGGCGCTTCTTCTTCTTCACTCTCTATCCTCCAATCCTCGAAACAAGAGAAGCATGTCCATCTCGCTCCAACTCACCCTTCGAACCCGCGCCTAAGCCCGGATAGCCTCCCTCCCTCAGTCACCACTTTGCGCCAAACCTCACCACATCCCAATACCCGATTCACTACCTTCCCTCTCTGCAAGAATCGAACCTCCCTTCGTCACACCAAACACTTACACGATGGATCTCGCCAACACGCTCATCCGAAGCGTGGTCCGCGCCTTCTACGAGACCCGCCACATCCTCGTGGTCGATGCGCTCTTCATCCACTCCGTGTATGCTGCACCAAGCTTAGCTTACGATCTTACAAAACACCTAACAAGGGCTGACTGCGAAATTATGAGAGAAAAAGTCTCCACGCAGAAGACCTCGCGTTCCTGCTTGGCATGCAGCAGAAAGACCTCCGCAAGTTATGCGCCAAGTTGCGCGAGGACCGGCTGATCTCAGTGTACGTCTTACCACTCTCCATAGCGCATACACATCTCCTACTTCTCCTACTCCACCTACTGAAAAGAAAACAAATCACTAACCATGACCAAAACGATACAGGAGCACGCGCGCCGAAATCCGCGACGGCTCGACCCGCCCCGTCAACCGCGAATACTACTACATCCCGCTGCACCCGGTGGTGGATGCGATCAAGTACAAAGTCTCCAAGCTCACGTCGACGATCAAGGCGCAGTACACACCCAGCGAGGAGCGCAAGGAGTACGTGTGCCTGCGGTGCGGGGCGGAGTGGACGGAGCTGGACGTGCTGAGCCTGTACTCGGAGGAAGGGTTCGAGTGCCAGAACTGCGGGGCAATCCTGGAGCGGACGGAGGACGTGAAGGGGACGGAGGGGATCGACCGGACGGGCCACGAGAAGAACAGCAAGCTGATGAACCAGCTGGACCCGATGCTGAAGCTGCTGAAGCAGATCGACTCGGTGGAGGTGCCGCCCAACGACTTCGACACCGCCTGGGACCACAAGGTCGACGTCGTGCGCAACCAGCAGACCAACCCCACGCGGGCCTCGGTCGTCGTCCCCTCCAAGAACCACCCGGAGTCCGTCCGCGGCAACACCAAGACCGACGCCACCGCCCTCGAGATCTCCCTGACCTCCAGCGAGGAGAAGAGCGCCGCCGAGCAGGCCGCCGAGGCCGCCCGCAAGGCCGCCGTCGAGAAGCAGAACGCCCTCCCCGTCTGGCACACCCACTCCACCGTCTCCACCGCCGCCGGGAGCAACCTGCCACTTGTGAAGACCGAAACCGATGACGCCGACATCAAACCCATCATCAAGGACGAGGACGAGGACCGCAAGCCCGACGTCGACGGCCTGGACGACAAAGTCGCCGCCTACTACGCCGAGATGGAGCGCGAGAAGGCCCTGCAGGCCCAGCAGGACGCCAGCAGCGACGAGGACGACGAGGACGACGAGGACGACGAGTTCGACGAGGAATTTGAAGACGTTGGCGGCGTCTCCGCCAGCGAAACTACCAGCGCCGCCTCCCCCGCTGTTGCTGGTGGTGGTGCTGGTAGCCTCGGCCCCACCAGTGCGCCCAAATCTACCACCACCACCACCACCACCATTACCACAACAACAACCGCCCAAACAACAGCAGGAATCAAACGCGAGCTCGAAACGGATTCAAGCTTCGCCAGCGCCACCCAGACATCCGTCGCCTCGCCGGCCACGGACGGCGGCGGTCCCGCCGCCAAGAAAGTCAAGGTCGAGCCCGACATCAAGAAGGAGGAATCCGACGAGGACGACGATGAGGAGTTTGAGGATGTATGAAGCGTTTTCTCGTCTCGTCTCTAAGCTTTGCTCATTGGTTTTTTTCTTCCCCCCCCCCCCCTTTCGCTGAGTCTATAGATTCCTTCCCCTCCCTCTTTCCACTTTGCTGCAAAACTTGATGTTCTTTGCACAGGCGCTGGCGCCTAGCTAGATAGTTTAGAAAGAAACGAAAAAAATAATTCTT